AATAAATTGAACCCCTGAGGGTTTAAAAAAAAAAAAAAGTTAACCCTCAGGGGTTAAAAAAAAAAATAAGATCACAGTATCATACTGTGATCTGTATTTTTATCACTGTAGGCAGTGATCAACTGGTAGGGAAGGGGTTAATTGTTTTAAAAAATTAATCCTCAGGGGTTAAAAAAAATAATAATAATTAGATCATAGTAAAATTTAGTCCCTGCCAATTGATCACTGAAGCCAGTGATGAATTGGCAGGGAAGAGGTTAATTTTAGTTTAAAATGGATAAAGGGGGGGTGGGATTTTAAACTAACGTTATTTTTTTTCACACAGGGAGAAGATCACTTTTGGTCCGTCTCCCTGCACTTCACACTGAACGCGGTAGCACAGGGAGGTGGATCAGAAGTCCCAGCAGCACATGTGCTCGCTCAGACAGGCTGTCAGAGCGATCACAGCTGCAGGGAATACCGAGGCAGATTGGAGGAGTGTTCACCCCGCGATCGCCATGATCTGGGGTTAACTTTAGTAAATGACGGAAATCTTCCGTCATGCGTCCTTAATGGTAGGTCTGCCTTGACGAAACGTTGGGGGCTTATTGATTGACTCTTTCCCTTCTTCTCACTAGGTCTGGTAGGCATCTGTTTTCTGTATATAGATTTATTTATGGGTTGTTATTATTTGGTATCTCATATAGCTATTTACTACACTGATATTCAGTAGTTCATTTACTACGTATTTTGCTCATATACTATTCTAGAATTTTTGACTATTTTGCTGTATCATTTGTATTGCAATGTTTGTTTTTTTCTTTAATTTATCAACATGTATAATGAGATATCCAATTGTTGTGGACCCATTTACTAACGTTTTTTTGTATATAGGTATGTATGGTTGTGCTCCTTGCTTGAGTAATATTTGTAACTTGTTTGGTCCTTTGGGAATGGGGCCTTGTGTGAGTGAGCACCCAGTATTTATTTATTTATAAAAATAAAAAAAGTATAATTTGTTTAGCTCCATCTTGAGACTGTCTTTACTAGCATTTGGAGTGTGCCTACCTGTTTTAATTTTTATTACCTACTCAGGGATAGACATGTTTTTGCCTAAGCTTTAACTTGTTTTTTCCGCTCTACAATTCACAATTTAACAATATCACATGGTCATAACATGCCGATATTTCAGTTTTCAGAAAGGGTTTGTCTCCTAACTCGCCTTGTTGTTGGACTCTCAATTCTTCTTCGCTTAGGGATCCTATTGTTGGGGAAGAAATTCTGCTGGCTCTCAAATAACTTCACAGAAAATAATACACCTGAAAGTAACAAAGCTATTTTGTGGGTGGCCCATAAAACTGTAATTAGAGGTGAATTGATTAAAATAGTTTCCTACATGAAAAAGAAAAAAGTCTGAAGCTTTTGTGAAGGGATGTTTGATCTTCAAAAATCCTTTGCAAGCTTGAATTGCTACACAAAACAACCTCTTCGGATGACACTGTCAGATAAAGAATTAAAGCACCTTTGTTAGATGATACAGCGTGGCAGATGAAGTTGTCCCGGAAATTGTTCTATAAGACAAACAAAATCAATGCTCCCTTAGCTAAATGCCTAAGGCTGTACTCTCATTTTAAACCAATAACATCCATTATACCAATAGCATCCTTTTGGTTCCTTGGTCAATGGTTCTGATGAGATCTATAGAACGTTCTATGAGTATTATTTAAATTATATAATTAATTTCCGGACTGAGGTCGGGTGAGTTCGGAGAGGAAGGTACAGCTGGAATTTCCTCGGCTCTTTGAACCTCTTTTCTATTCCCACAAACATCTCTTGAGGCAATGCTATCCCTAGATGAGATTAAATCAGCTATTTTTTCAATTGGGCAGGAGGCACCAGGTCCGAATGATTTCTTTGGCAGTTATTATAAGACATTTAATAACATTTTGATATCAGGAAGTTTTTAATCAAACCTGCCAGACTGGTAGCCTTCCAGCAGATTTTACACTAGCTAATATTATTCTACTCCCTAAAGAGAATAAAAACCCTAAATCAGCAAGGAATTATAGGCCCATCTCATTAATAAATGTGGACACAAAGATCTTGGCCAAAATTTTGGCTGTGCACCTCTCTCCGCTTCTTCCCACTTTGGTCCACTCAAATCAGGTAATTTTTCTCCCTGGCAGGCAATTATATGAGAATACAAGCAGAGTACCAGACCTGGCAAGGAATTTGGAGACAGTAAAAATCCATTCGATGCTTCTCTCGTTGGACGCAGGGTTGCTTGGCCCTATCTGTTTCGGCTGTTACAACTTTGAGGTTTCCCAGACTCCTTAATTACAACTATATGTGCACTATACTCCAATCTGACAACATTTTGCTTTCCAACATCATCATCCCAGTCCACTCTATCCCTTCTTTGTTTGATTTAATATATCAATGTGTTAGAGTAACCTCCACATGAATGGCTGGGCCCAAGCTTTCTCAGCAGAACATTGCACAGAGCATAATACTGCTTCCGCCGGCCTGTTTTCTTCTCATTGTACATCCTGCTGCCATCTCTTCTCCAGGTAAATGACACAAGCGCACCCATCCATCATCGGTTCACTGGTTGTCCTTTTAATAAGTATGGACCACTCCATACCGGCGACTCCTAAGATAATTTGCTCCTTGACAAAGTCACTCAGATCTTTTCGCTTGCGCATTTTTTCCTGCTTCTAACACATGAAATTCAAGAACTGATTGTTCACTTGCTACTTAATAAATTCCACCCAATGACAGGTATCTTTATAATAATATAATCACTTTTATTCACAACTCGTCTATCAGTGGTTTCAATGTTGTAGCTGATCAGTGTATCTGACCTGCTCTGCTCATAATGCTTAATAACCCTTTACCTCTATCTATATCTAAAAAAAAACCTGCTGGTTAAAAGAAAACTCAAAGCACCATAGCCACTATAACAGAGTGAAATTCAAACTTTAGGCTAAGACAACTGAACTGTAAATATAGCTAACTTGAAATTTGTTTTAGATTTTGCTATTTTTACGTCAATTTCAAAATCACTTTGATTACCTGACAATTCACACTTTAGTGAATAACCCTCTGAGTGGAAAAGGACACTTTTAATTAACTTTCACTTTGCCATTTACAGTGTGAAGGGATAGGAAATAGTAGTCTGCCTGTAAGACATGCATCTGTTCCACATCATAGAAATACCATGAAGGAAACTACTTTCCATTGACATGAATCAAAACTGTGTTTTCAGATATGCAGCCATAGATTGACCGTTCCTAAAATGAGACTCTCTTACCTCTATGTACCAGTTTTGGTAAATATTGCAGCATTGCGTTGCTAAAGTTGAGTTAAGTTCCAAGATTCTCCAGTAGGCGTGCCATTATCACTGCAGACGGCACTCAAGTGCTCATCAGAAAAAGATTCACAATAACAGATTGGGTTAATACGGTAGCTTCTGATTATAGAGTTATTCTCAAGATGCTGCTGAAGACCAGTTCTCTGTAAATTAAGCATGTCACCATTTAAACAATTATGTATATAAACAGCTTAAAATAGACAATATCATAAAACCCATCCTAACATTATCACACCTTCATCCCAAGCCAGGGTGGAACAAAGATACCCATAAAATACACAGAGTTAGGTAGACTACAGAGAAACAGAGGAAGGCTTCACAGCCGAAACGTTGGGGTTTAATTTCTCCTGCTCTTGGTCAGTATACCTTTTTTAATGGGTTTTTGCATTTATCACTTTACTTACATTGTGGTTTTGGTACAATAAGTAGGTACTCATAACTATTCCACCCAGCCAGTATCACTGCAAGGGATTACACGGAGCTTCAATACAGAAATCCCCACAAAGTACATGTCTTTGCAAAATGCTGTAGTTTTCTCTGTATCTTCCTAGCTCTCTCTTAGCTCTCCCTTACATGATCTCATTTTCATTAGTGCTCCTGTTATAACTTTAGCTTTCTATTAAATATTGCTGCTGTTATGAAACATGCAAACTACTCCATTAGCACTTGGCACACAGGTTAAAGCAGCACTGTCACGCCGAACTTACCTTTCCCCAATCACTTATCACAATAGGTCTAAATGACAGGACGTTCGGGAAAAGTGAAAGGAGGCATCGCGACAACACGAAGGAAAGGTGAGACTTGTTGGAAATTGCTCTGACCACAGGAAATGGAGCACACTTTGCTCCTTCGCTTGGTCATAGCTGGTCAAGCGTAGTAAAAATACATAAGACAAAATGGTCCATACTTTGTCTTATATTTTAAAGAAAACTAAAGCAGATAGGAAGAAATGAAGAACAGATCCTGAGAGAGGGAGAGAAGAGGAAGCGATTGGGGAAAGGTAAGTTCGGCATGACAGTGCCACTTTAAAGAACAGGATACTGATAGACTTCAAACATGTTAGCTATTCCTGACTCACTATTAGCTCTCAGCACACAGTGTACGCAGGGTTAAAGCAGCAGGATACTGATAGACTCATTACATTTGCATCTGGCAATATAATACATCTGCAGTGGTAATATGGAGCTAAGAAGTAGGTGACATGGTTCACAGAATCAAAAATCATTGCAGATTAAAAGAGATTGAAATCAGAATCAAATCAGTCCTCAGAGTTACAGCCCCAGTCTTGTAATTTGAAGCTTCACAACTTTCAACATGGCACAGTGTGAGAATCTCGGGTCACAGTTGGAGAGTGACTAAGCATTTTAAAGAAGATATAGGATATGTGCAGTAGGAGTTATGAAAACTATTAGTGGCAGGTAGCACAGTTCTCAGAAATGCGTGTGTCAGAAATGCCCCCTCCCCCTTGGCTACATACAATTATGTACCTAGTTTTATGCACAGATGCTCATGACTGCTGACCCCAAATACCATACCTGTCAACCCAATAACGACATGACACCTGATTGTTGGGTAAGGGCAACGGCCACATTTCCACCTGTCAGCTGTTGGGGTGACTACCCAACAGACAGATACTCCAAGTCTTTATCCAGAGTTCGTACAGCCTGCCTTCGGCCATCAGCCCTAGCAGGCTGCGACTCCCCAAATCCTTTCCGTGCATTACATGCGCTGGCCAGGAACTCCGCCATAGCTGTGACAAAACAAGAACAGAAACAAACAACACCACAAGACAGAAACCATCACATAGCCTAGAAATTGGGGAGGGTGGGAGGGAAACTGTTCCAGACCGCTACTTCTGCTCTGGTGAGTACCCTCCCTTCTGCATTCCTTCTTATATCCCCCATCTAGCAACTATGTATCCATAATAGTCCCGCCCCCTTACTGCAGGACAGCAGTCATGCTTCCCCTTCCTTGCAGTCCAGGAGATATCTTTCATTGGCTGAGAACGGTGAGCAGATTGACATCCAGCTTCTGCAGCTCTGCAGAAGTCACATGTCATTAACCTGCTGCAAAGGAGACCCGGCACCTGGTGGGGACCTAGGTGAGAGGCCAAAGCATTACAAAATAGTTTGCCTCATTAGTGAAAAATGGTGCCAAGGTACCCCTGGCATTACTACAGTGGGCTGTATATTTATTTTATAAAATGTATGCTGAGAAAAAGTGCATGTTATCTCATCTCTGGAGATACAAGTCCTATTAATTTGGATTCATGGAGATCCTTTAACAAAAATGTTAATGTTTCAAGAATACACAGCCTCATGCTGCATAATTAATATTTCTTGCTGAATAATCTTTATACTATAATGTATCTTAAAAGGACACTATAAGCACCAAAAAAATGTTAGGTTAATAAAGCAGTTTTGATGTAAAGATCATGCCCCTGGAGTCTAACTACTTCATTCATTGCCATTTATGAGTTAAATCACTTTGTTTATACAGCCTTAATCACACCTTCCAACATGTTACTTACACAGCCTCCCTAAACACTTCCTGTAAAGAAACAGCTAATAAGGTTAGCTTTCCGTGAAATGTCTAAATAATGTATTGCTTAATAAACGTGTCTGACTTAAAGAATGGCTTCTTATATTTTTGCCCTCTTTTACAGGTCTAACCTCACACCTCAACTGACTTTGCTCTTACTATATTTTTTTCATATTATACCATACATCCTCTAAATGTGCCGTACACAAATGGAAGGCTTGGTCTGTAATTGTGGGAGGGACTATGTCCCCTATTTAAACCCAGTGAGCCCCTGCTTACCTGTCGTCAACGATCTCGGAAGTTCCCGTCCCACCGCACTCTCTATTTATTCTCACGTCACCTAGGTGGGCCCTCTCTTTTTTTTTTTTTTTTTATGCTCAGATATTGGGACTACTTTACACCATTATCAGGTAGCATTATCAAGGTCCCATCATATGCTTTTTTGTACACCAAGAAAGGGGGAGGAAGAGAAAAAAAAAAAAGGAGAAGAGAAAAGGAAAAGAAAGAGGAAAAAAAAGAAAAAAAAGAGGGAAAGTTCTGCCAATACTTCTAACATTAGTAGTCTATTGACTCATCATCAGTATGTCTTAAAGTAATCTTGCTATGATGTTTCTGCCCCAAACGCTAGCCAAGGTTCCCATGTCCTAACATTGTGGTCTCTCTTCCCCTGAATGGCCCAGTGCACTTCTTCAAGTTCCCTCAAAACTTCCACTCTAAGAATCCATTGTTCTTTAGTCGGGATACTAGGTTTAAGCCAATACACCGGGATCAAAGCATTTGCCTCATTCAATAAATAACTCAGCAATGTCTGTTTATTATTCTCCTTAACGGAAGCTGGCCATCCCAATAGAATCTTAGATTAGGATAGTTGATCAGGCATTGGTAAAATTTTATAAATGACATTCAATACCTGTAGCCAATAGCTCTTAATAAGTTTGCACTCCCACCATATATGTTCCATATTTGCCCCCCTCTCACCACATCTCCAACAGCCATCCGAGGCTGGTAAACCATATTTTTTAAGTCGATCTGGAGTATTGTACCATCTAGTAACTCTTTTAAAAAAATATAATCTTGGGAGGGCGTGTCCTGACCGCGCATGTGAGCGGACGTGTGAGACCGGAGCTCCTCCGATACCGCGGCTATCACAGCGTGGAGTAAACGACAAAAATGCCGGCTAAAGCTAGCAACAACAAGGGGAACTAACCTCCTATCCGATGGCGACGAAACCGCAAAAAAAATGAAACAAAAAACTATGCATGCCCATCTGGAGAGGAATCAAGTCACAGAGCATGGTGAGCAAGATGGCGCCGATAGGCCCAAATCCCCAGCATGCGACTCTGAAGCAGGGGACAGCAGACACAGCCAGGACAGCCCAGCGACGAACTCTTTCATAAGATCAATCATGCTAGAACTAAAAACATCATTCAAAGCAGACCTGCAGCAAATGGCAGCAGACATCAGGTCAGACATCAACAGCATAGGAGAACGCACTGCGCGCCTGGAAGAGCGCACAGAGGAGTTAATTGATGCACACAACTCCATGGCAGAGGCATACACATCCCTAGTACAGAAGATAAAAGTACTGTAGGGGAAAGATGCAGACCAAGAGGATAGAAGCCGAAGGAACATACGCATAAGAGGTATCCCAGAATCTGTTACACAGACAGGATTAACCCAATATGTGCAAGACCTATTCAAGATGCTTATTCCCTCGCTGACAGATACGGAGTTAATCCTGGACAGGACACACCGTCTCCCGAAACCCAAACACCTCCCATCTGACACAACAAGGGACACCATCACAAGGGTCCACTACTACCCAGTCAAAGATCGCATCATGCAAGCAGCCAGAAGGGCAGGCCGCTGGCCGGAACCCTATACTGACATTAAACTTTTCATAGACCTCTCATCAACAACCATGCTTGCACAATGCACGTTTGCACCCATCACTGCAGCATTACGAGCAGCAAACATACCCTACAAATGGGGTTTCCCCACAAAGCTATTAATCAAACGGAATGGTGTGGACAAACCAATACTTAACCCGGACGATGGAAAGAGGATCCTCCAGGAATGGAATATTCCGTTACAAGCCAGCAGTCCTAAAGGACCACTACAGACAACGGTACCAAAACCCCTCACCAAAGACTGGAACTGAACAACGAAAATCCTGCGCACATCCACCGACCGCAGAACCTCTCCATCATGAAGAAAGTACCAGATCAGATCAAAAATCGGTGGAAATCGAATGGACTAGAAGTACAGGTTCTATAATTCTACTTAAATTACTTGCCCCCTTGTAATCCATTCTGATATTGTCGGTTGAAAGTCCCTAGCCCAAGCCGCGACCGGGTGGAGGAACACCCGGACCCGCTTTGTTTGAACCACAGCATTGTTACAGGCCACATACGTTGTGGATCGTGACAATCTGCTCCAAGTGGGCCACCCCCAAGGCTCTTAAAGCTCCTAAGAGCTATACTTGTCCGTTGCTCTACACAACCCAATGTCCCCATGTGGTGACATACGTAATACTGTATATAGCTACTACCCTGTTGTTCCCCCCCTCTCCCTCGTCAGTATACCCAAGAATGTACCGTACCCATCTTACAATGACACTCCGGGTTCTTCATATTTAAGAGTACAGCGAACCAGACAAATACGTCACAAACGCAGGTTGGCCATGCAGGAGGCTAGGAAAAGCGGCGCTCTAGTGGCGTTCTTCCAAGAGACGCACTTCAGGTGGAAAGATAGACCTAAATTTACCTCTAAATGGTTCCCCCATGACTTCCACACCTGCTATACGGCCAAACAAAGAGGTGTTTCCATCTTAGTAAGTAAGGATGTAGTATTCTCTCTGGTTCGCAAGATAACTGATAGAAAAGGGCGCTACCTGATTTTGCAATGCCTTCTTAATAATAACCCATATACGCTAGTTAATATTTACAGCCCTAATGAGAATCAGCATGAATTCTTGACCTCGACCTTGGCCTTACTTGAAATGTATGAATATGGGGAGGTAATCATTGGAGGCGACACGAACTTCTTACTAGATAGTGAGTCTGACTCGTCCACTGCTGCAGGGCTTTCAAGAAGCACCCTACGGCAAAGAGCAGCTCTAGCAGTCAAAGTGTGCACCACATTAGCCTCTAACCACTTGGTAGACCCATGGCGTATCCTCCACCCCACGGAGGTGGACTACACATGCCATACAATGGCACACAATAGCTACTCCCGTATAGACCGCTTTCTTGTCCCCGCCATCTTCATGACCAACATAGAAGAAGCTACTATTGGAACAATGTCGTGGTCTGACCATGCACCTGTCACCCTTAGCATTAAAGAAACAGTCCCCAATAAAGGGACAGGCACCTGGAGGCTAAATGAGTCTCTTTTGATAGACCCCTCAATAGTGGCACAGATTACCACAGACCTCCAGCACTATTTCACCGAAAACACAGTACATGACTCATCAATAGAACAAATCTGGCTAGCACACAAGGCGGTCATCCGGGGTAGCCTTATAAAACATGCCAGTAGAGCCAAAAAAATAAGGTTAGCAAAATATAACTCGCTGGTAGCAGAAATCACTACACTGACACACTCCAACAAATGAGACCCAAGCAGGACCACCTGCAAAAAACTACTAGACCTCCAAAATCAATTGAAAAACATAGAACTAGCCAAAACAACATATCTATTACGCAAAGCTAAACATAACTTTTTTGCAAACGGAAATAGAGCAGGCGCCAAATTAACGTCACAATTAAGAGAGATGTGTCGCCTCCAGGATTGCCTTCCTAGTAGATAATAAGGGAGTGAAGACTTTGAACCCACAAAGTATTGTTGATCAGTTTGCAAAATATTACAGTGAATTGTATAACCTCAAAACTGAGCTCAACATGTTCTTACCTACCCATGACGACATTGACTGTTTCTTGACAGGCCTTGACCTACCAAAACTAAAAAATGATGACCTAGACCTGCTACAACAACCATTCTCCCTAGATGAGATCACAGCTGTAATATCGCAACTCCCAGCCCACAAATCTCCAGGCCTCGATGACTTTACGAACGCATATTACCAGAAATTCTCACACATCCTTATGCCACACCTCCTAAACCTCCTCAACAACTGCGCTACTGCAGGCGCACTGCCAGATGAGATGCTGCTGGCCCATATATCCACCCTCCCTAAGCCTGGCAAACCCCCCACCCAGTGTAAAAATTTCAGGCCCATCTCCCTACTTAATGGAGATGCCAAAATCTATGCTAAACTCATCAGCAACCGATTGGCTCCTCTCCTCCACAAACTGGTACACAATGACCAGTCGGGGTTTATAAAAGGCCATCAGGGCTCTGACAATACCAGGAAAATTCTGAACATGTTGTCCACGCTAGACACTGGCGGTTCGAAGGGCCTCTTCCTCGCTCTTGACGCGGAGAAGGCCTTCGACCGACAAAACTGGGAGTACATGACTAAAACTCTGCACAAATTTAACTTCCTCGTGTCTATAATTAAAAGCATAATGGCACTATACCACAAACCAGCAGCCAAGGTCTCTCATGGAGGCTTCCTGTCCAACCCTTTCTCTATTACAAATGGTACCCGAGAGGGGTGCACCCTTTCACCCCTTCTATACATACTGGCCCTGGAACCCCTAGCATGTAAAATCAGATCACACCCTGACATACAGGGGATCCCTATACGAGACAAGATGTACAGCCTGGCCCTCTTTGCTGACGACATCTTCGTGGCACTAACAGACCCTATCCACTCCCTACCCCATATGCTGGAACTCATACGACAATTCGGAAGAGTCTCCTACTATAAATTGAATCAAGACAAAACCCAAGCCCTACCCATCAACCTGCCGAAAACCCTAACAGACTCCCTCCGCACCACATACAAATTCGATTGGAGGACCACCTCCATTACATATTTGGGGATAAAAGTGGCACCCTCCACCTCGGCCACGCTAACATTAAACTATACACCACTACAGATGCTCTGCAAAAAAGAAATGCACAAATGGAAGCACACGATGATTTCATGGCTGGGGAGGATTGATGCCTACAAAATGATGATCCTGCCCCGTATCCTCTATGTCTTTAGGATGCTCCCCCTCAAAATCTCCAACCAATACTGTAAAACATTACAAAAACTATACAGTACTTTTATCTGGGGGGGTAAGAAACCTATTGTATCTATGGCACTCCTTCAAACCGCCACCCGCTCCGGCGGTGTTGGCCTCCCTAATCTCAGACAGTACTATAGGGCGGCTATTCTGTCCTCAGGTGTCCTCCTACATGCACCATCTAACACAACCCAATGGGTGGACATGGAAAGAGCACAATTCCGTAATCAAGCCCTACTCGAATACCTCTGGACACCCAAACACCTAAGATCGAAACGACAGGATCTATTCCCAACCACCCAGCTCACGATAGCAGTGTGGGATGAATTTATGGGAGCCACAGGCTACAACAACTCCTTCCACCCTAAATCGCCCATTTCGACCCTTAGAGCAACGGTACCAGACATACCACTCCAAGACTGGCACAAGGCAGGGATCAAACACATATTCCAACTGATGACTGAAGGGAAAGTAACACCTTCCCAACACTACGGGCACAGTGGCAACTCCCCAGCCGAGCCATCTTTTCCTACCTACAGATTAAAAGCGTACTACAAGCACACACGACAACCGCACACAACCCAAAAGGCTCACCACAAGTTACCTCACAGTTGCTCATTGACAGATGTTGGTCCTCACCTAACAAACCTAAAACACTCACACTGTATTACAAAACATGGCAAGAACTCACACCAACAAAACCACATCCACACAAAGCCCAATGGGAAAAGGACTGTGACATAACCCTATCAGACACGGAGTGGCTACACGTACTAAACGGGACTTTAAACTTCAGACATTTTTAATGGAATATTTTTAGATAGATATTGTTCTCTTTCATGTGGGGTCTTCTCATGGGGCTTTAAATTATAAAGATCTTTATAATAGTTACTGAAAGTGTTTGCTATTTCCTCAGTAGTATTACAAATTTTCCCTTGTTTATCTTTAATTTTGAATATATGTTTTTTGTAACTTTGTTTTTAAGGCTTTAGCTAACAATTTCCCACGTTTATCCCCATGTGTATAAAATGTACTTTGTGTCAACTGCACCGCTCTTTGGGCCTCATAAGTCAGTAATGACCTCAATTTAGATCTAATTGCCGATAAACATTTAAAATTTTCTTCATTTGGAGTTTATGAATAAACTCGTATCTAATTTTTTACGAGCCTTTGTATTTCCTCAGCTCGTTCCTTTTTACATCTAGCACCCCATTTGATTAAGACCCCCCGGATCACACTCTTGTGTGCTTCCCATATCCATGATTCATTAATATCGTCTGTGCAATTATCTAAAAAATATTGAGAAAGAGTTTCTGATAGGTCCTTGGTGACCCTTGGGTCGTCAAGAAGAGACTCATTTAATCTCCAGATGTTATTACCCTTCACATGACCTTGCAGTTCAATATCCAAAAAAATGGGGGCGTGGTCAGACCACGTAATATTCCCTATTTTTGCTCCCTTTACGAAATGTAGATTTCTATGATTTACAAAAAACATGTCTATCCTAGAATAACTACTATCTGCAGCTGATGAGTAAAAAGTATAGTCCATTTCACACTGATGGAAAATACACCAGCAGTCAATCAATTGGTAGGAGTGCAAAATTTCCAGGACTAATGACCTCTGACTCTTCTGTGTTTCTCTCGTATTTGAAGAACTATCCACTGTATAATCTAGCACCATATTGCAATCCCCACCAATTATCAAAACCCCTTCCTTGAAATCTTCCAGTTTCCTTAGACAAGTTTTTAAGAAAGATGCTTGGCTAGCGTTAGGCACATATATATTTGCAAGCGTAATCATTTGGTCATTGACCTTCCCTTTTAAGAAGATATATCTACCTCCTCGATCCATTTTACTATCTAGTTGGACAAAGTTCAAATCAGAATTGAAAATAATTGCCACTCCTCTAGACTTGCCTTTCATAAAGTTGCTATAGAAAGTCTGCTTAAATTTGTTCGTGTTAAGTCTAGTGAAAGAAAAGTGTTTTTATAGTGAGTTTCTTGAATAAATACAATGTCTTTTTTTTTGCCTTTCTAATTCCTGTACCAGGATAGAGCGTTTACTTTGGGAGTTCAGACCATTAAAGCGGCACTGTCATGCCGAATCTCGTTTTTTTTTTTTAACCCCCCTCCCGCCTCCACTACATCTAACTAACACTCTAGTCACCCGCAAATGCCCCTAAGCCCCCCACATTACCTATTTTTTATTCCTTATTTTCTGCCCCGATCTTGATTCAGGGCGCCACCATCTTTGTGTGGGTAGGTGAAGTCCCTGTGGGACACGTCATCTGCCCACACTAGATAGACTGTGAGATTCCCGCACATGCCCAGTGAAACACCTGGACATGCGAACGGGAATTTCATCTATTCATTCATCAGACAGACAAATGAGTGAATAGAAAGATCAGCCGAACAAACTAACACAATGTATCAGTGTTAGTTTGTTCGTGCAGGTTATTACAAGGAGGGAGCTACCGGCACGCAGCTCCCTCCTTGTAATATGTAACGATAGAAGCGGCAGGGAGCAGTGCTCCCCACCACTTCATAAGCCCCCCCAGGTCCCCCTCTCACTCTATGGGGGTCAATATGACCCCCATAATAGCACAAGGGAGATTAAAATGTCTAGCATGTCTACTAAACAGTGAGCAGCCTGTGGCATAACATAAATTACACAATAAATGACATAAATTACAATAAGGGGGGGCGGACCTATTGTCCTCCCGTCCTCCCCCACCCCTGAGCGGTGGGTGGGGGCCCTTATAAAACAATAAGGGGGGGGACCTACTGTCCTCCCCCCCCGGCCCCCACCCCTGAACGGTGGGTGGGGGCCCTAAATAAAGATATGGGGGGGGACTTCTGTCCTCCCCACTTGGCCCCCACCCCTGCACGGTGGGTGGGGGCCTTAATAAAACAATAAGGGGGGGGACCTACTGTCCTCACCCCCTGACCCCACCCCTGAGCGGTGGGTGGGGGCCCCAGTAAAACAATAAGGGGGGGGACCTACTGTCCTCCCACCCTGGCCCCACCCCTGCGCGGTGGGTGGGGGCCCTAATAAAACAATAAGGGGGGGGACCTACTGTCCTCCCCCCTGGCCCCCACCCCTGCGCGGTGGGTGGGGGCCCTAATAAAACAATAAGGGGGGGACCTACTGTCCTCCCCCCCCTGGCCCCTACCCCTGAGCGGTGGGTGGGGCCCCTAAATGAAACACCCCCCCCAATCAAGGTGACTAGGGGTCCCAAGCCCCTAGTCACCCCCCCACACAAAAAAAAAACTATCCCCTACCTACCCCCTCACCCTAAAAATAGTGAGGGGGGAATAAAATAACTAACCTGTAAAAAAAAAATTTAACTTACCATTTGACGTCTTCTTTTTTCTAAAATCTTCTTTCTTCAGCCCCCCAAAAGGCCAAATAAAAATCCATTATACCCGTCGCACTTTAAAAAAAAAAAAATTAATGTTCGCCCTTTGAGGGCACGCCGCGGACTGAGCTCCGCAGAGCGGGTCAAGGCTTATAAAGCCTTGCCCCGCCCTGCAATTAGGCTTAGAACACTCTGATTGGTGGGTTTAAGCCAATCAGAGTGCTCTGTGTCATTTTACACAGCGTGGGAAAGTTCTTTTGAATAGGATAAGATGCCACCCCTGTGGGAGACCCATTTGTGTCCACAAGACATATCGGGGGAGGGGGGAGGGAGGGAAAGGTAAATGGGAGAAAAGTAATATCTATATCTATATCACCTAGTTTCCTTTGTAAGGACAGAATAGCATCAGTCTGTGATCTTTGTAATTTCCAACATTCAGTCCACTGATTTTCATTTGTTTCTTGATTATCTTCCAATGCACAAACCCTATCTCCTAAATCATGTATTTCTGAGATGACAGCTTTTAATTTTTCACCAAAACTATCTTCCATTTTTTAAAACATATCCGTCAAATCCACTTTAGAAGGTAGTTGTGCCAGGATTGTTCTAAGATCTGGGCCTTCTGTTGAGCCATCTGATATCGTAGGGCTTACTGGTGAACTTAAAGGTTAAAAAACTGGAAATGCCCTTTTCTCGATATGGTCGTGCTCCTGGCCTATTCGGTCTGTACTTAGTCTTTGTGGCGATAAATTTGGTATAGCGGATTTAAGTCCTACAGCAGTTGTCGCTATCTGACGTTTTATTTTGGGTCCCATTATTTCTCAAATATATCTAGGTGTGCAGCCTTCCCCAGACCTTTACAATACAAAAGTAATAGAACTTGATGTTTAGGTAATATAGTTTGGTAATTTAAGTCCTTATAGCTTCAGCTACACTTTAGGGGTAACAAGCGGCTATTGACTTATGGTTCTTCAAGTTATATGCTTCCGGGCCCTGTTCAATATTACCCAATTCCCCGTTTGCAGGTCTAAAAGATGCTCTCTATAGTTTTAGATAATCTTCAGAAGATCTCCAAGTACCACTCGGTAATCTAGCTGCACTGTCTCTTAATGTGACCCAGTTGTTGAAGTAGCTCAGTTAAGCTGACTACTAGCTGACTAATAGCTGGCCATTACTAGCTTATGAAAAATTATATATAAAAAAAATAATAAAAACTCGAGTCACGCCAGAAATTATTAGTCGTTAATCAAGAGCGTAAAGACGTAATTAATAGTGGTCACTGCTGCAAGGGTTACCCAGAAAAGTCTACAAAGTAAGCAAAACTATATTCCTCCTTGCAAAAAAAAAAAGAGTCCATGTGTTCCCACTTTTCTTTTCCTCTTCAAAAAAGGCCCTTCCTTCCTTTAACTTTTGGTATGGAGACCATTAAGCAGCAAGTAGCAGCAGCAGCAGCAAGTAGCAAATATTATGCAATTCAACACTATCAGCTCCGGTTATCAAATGCACTTTTGTAGCAATATTGACACCAGTAACAATATGATTCTTATTATAGTTTTAACTCTGGTAACGGTGTTGACTCTTGTGACAAATCACTCCAATATCTCCTGTAGCACTCTAATATCTCAGTTCAGTATTGAGTATGCAGTGTTACAATATGATATATGTTATGCAATATTTCAATATTCAGTGTTTCAATTTCAGTACTCAGTATCCATTATTCATTGTATCAAATATGTCAAATGTATCAAATCAGGTACCAAAGTACTAAATGAATACAGTGATCAGCCCTTATACTGGATATACTGAATATATAGTGAATGTGTAGTGATTGTCTGCTGAGTGTTTTCTACTTGCGTGAGCTGGAGGCTAGTATCTCCCAAAAGAGAAAATAAAACCTTGTGTCTCGTCGTTTTAATGCTGAGCAGGCAGTGCCTGGCGTCTGTATCCGTGTCCTTGCCGGTCTTCGTGCCCTCGTGCCTGAAATCCAGGTAGCTCACTGAACGCTGCTGGAATTCGATCTTTTAATCAGCAGGTAGTCACAA